ATACATATATATATATATATATATATATATATATATGTATATATATATATATATATATATATATATATATTATACATATATATATATATATATATATACATATATATATATATATATATATATATATATATATATATATATATATATATATATATATATATACATACATATATATATATATATATATATATATATATATATATACATATACATATATATATATATATATATATATATATATATATATATATATATATATATATATATATATATATATATATATATATATATATATATATATATATATATATATATATATATATATATATATATATATATATATATATATATATATATATATATATATATATATATAGAGAGAGAGAGAGAGAGAGAGAGAGAGAGAAATAAAGAGAGAGAGAGATTGCATCAAAAAAATTAGTTTTCCGTTAAAATATAATATATATATATATATATATATATATATATATATATATATATATATATATATATATATATATATATATATATATATGTATATATATATATATATATATATATATATATATATATATATATATATATATATATATATATATATATATATATATATATATATATATATATATATATATATGGGTCAAATCATTATATTTCAATCAATTTTGAGAAAACTTTTTAGGGCATCATCTCAGATTTTGCCGATTTTTACATATCATTATCTACATTATGTAGATAGGTTAAATTTGAAATTTCAGACTTCCAAGTGCAACGGTTCAGAAAATATAGCTTCATAAACAATGCGCAGTGGCCCCCTTGATTTAAGAATTGTAAAAACAGACTACATTAGTGCCTCATAACTTTTTTCTATCTTTCACCAAGCGGCTCATTTTTGCCACTTCTTATAAGAGACCTCTTTATTAGCTCCTCTTTAGATTATTTAGTAGAACAACTAGAACAAAAGTTTCATAATGAGAATAGTATTTCACTGAAAATAAATTACTCACCTTAGTTCCTCTCCATCGGACCATTCAGGAAATAATAGGTGAATTTAAAACAACACAATATATGGTAAAACAAGCTAGAGCTTTGTGGGACACCATTGTAATCCTTGGTGAGAGAGCATGATGAAATGCAGCTTATATTATACAATCTTTCAAAAGATTGTATACTATACCAAAAATGGATAGAAGAATCAAAGTCTAATGATATAGTTAAGGTGGGATTAACATCATTTGCTCTATTAAGGCCAAAACTTGTGTACTTGCTGGAAAATTTGTCACCTAAACCGTCTCTGTTTGTATCCACCATCAAAATCCAAATCTAATGGTAAAAGTATTCAAAAAAGAATTAAAGTTAAAAGAACTGATGGCCTTAGCTGTATGCTCATTAGAAAATAAAGAATGTGTGTTTCATGAGTGTAAAAAGTGTCCTGGAAAAGAAAGAATTAACAAAAAATTAAATGATCTGGTTAGCGATTCAGTAAACGAAATAACTTATGAGCAATGGTTGAAAACTGATAGATACTCCTTAGAAACAATAGTTAAAAGCCTTGATGAGTTTCTTGGAAAGTTAACAAAAAACTTATATAAACTCACAAAACATCATTATGTCAGCAAATTTCAGACATACTTTTTAAAGCAGTTAAAAAAAACAACTTGAAAGCGTATCATTTGTCATACAGGATTAAGTTCAGGCATTATATTTTTCTAAAAATCAGGCAATTCTTCATCCATTTGTTGTATATATAATATCTTTGAATGGAAAACTGACCCTAGAAAGCAAATTTATTGTTTTATATTGTTTTATATCAGACATTCTAATTCACAATACTGAGGCAGTCTTCAGTTGTTTCAAAAATCGTATTTATTCTGAAAGAATATCCACAATTTCAGAAGATTCATTATTTCACTGATGTTGCAGGCAGCCAGTTTAAAAATAGGTAGGTTAATTTTTTAATTAATATCATTCAAAAAATTCTGATTGACCAATTTTAAACAAACCATATTCATTTATTTGAATGATATTTTTCAAATTTGCTATAGAATAAATAGGATATTAATTTTTTATCAAATTTATTTTTTTATGAATATAATTTTTCTTAATGTATTATAGATTTAATTTGAAAAACCTTGGTTTTCATGAAAAAGATTATAAGCTGAAAGCAGATCGGCATTTTTTTTTGCACTGTGCGTAGAAAAAGTGCATGTGATTGATTAGGTGGTACAGTGAAAAGAGTATTTAATAACCTGTCCTTCCAAAGGCCGATTGGGAGTCAAATTTTGACACCAAAGGATAGTTTAAAGTTTTTAGTTGCTAAAGAAAATTTTAAAAACGTCAGTTATTGCACTTTCTTGTCTAAGTGCACATAAATTTTCTAAATTTTTCCAAATAATGGATGTCTTGTATCCTATATTGCTATGGACTTTTAATTGAAATAAAGAAAATAGCTTATATTATTCTTAGTTATAAAAAGTCAATCCTATAAAAAAAAACATTGAACTTTTTGCTATAAAAGTTTTTTATAAGGAAAATTTTAGAGAAAACGGTACTTTAAAGCAAGAACTTACTAAATGCATTTTAAAAATTATATTCTTGGATTGTAAGATTTATATTAAAATTTATTTTTAGATTTCTCTATATTTCAAAACAGCTGTTACACTCATGAAGTACTTGCTAAATGATTTGAGCATGTTCCTGCTATTAACGGAACCTGCTCATGTCATAGTTTCTCACCTTACCCCATTGTTTAAAAGCTAACTTATCCCATTGTTTAAAAGCTTGTGTAACATCAATGTGCACATTTTTCACATGCTAGATGATACTTGCATTAATACTCAAGTCAGTAAGTGTTGACATCAATATTGCTGATTGGGTATTAGTATATTATTTTAGTGAATTTTTTTGTGGAAAGGTAATAGATGTTAAAGGCAACTATATATCTGTAAGCTGTTTACATAAAGCTGGCAATTATTTCAAATATCCAAAAACACCCGATACTCATTTGTATCCAGTTAGTGACATTATTGCCACATTACATGAGCCTGAGCTCCAAAACGCAAGAGGGTTTTACTCCTATCTAATAAAAAAAAAAGATTAAATAAATTATACTGTACTAACTGTTTCAAACATTAGCAACTAATTATCAATTAAAAAGTGAAAACCAAACCTAATAAGTTAAGTGGTTTCTAACAAGTTTCAAGTTTTTCCTTTATTAATCATTATTTATTTTTATTATAAAAGTTATATTTTATTATATTTTTAAGCCCCCTGATGTATCATGAATATCCTCTTGATATATTATGAAAGTTTTATAAAAAAGTGTTCAACATTAATTATGTAAAACAACAAAGGTCTTTGACTTTGAGATATAACACTCCTTAATTGTGTTAATTATGTTTAAAGTATCACTATTTACCAATATTACAGAGTTTTAGTTAGTTATTGCCCCTTTATTTGTGCCCAAGGCCGGCGCGATAGGGGGTGTGTGAGGTGTGTGACACCCCCTCCATCAATACTTTTAGTAGGCAAATTGGACCCTTAGTCGGCAAATTGAACCCTTTCGATATAGGTTAGTTGGTAATGTAGACAGTCAGCAAATGTCCTAATGGCAGTCGGCAAATTTTGGAAAACGAGGACCTTTTTTTTTATTTTTTTAGTAGTCGGCAAAAGTTGTAATGGCACCCCCGACGTGACACCTACACGCGCCGACCCTGTTTGTGCCCCTACCAAGGTTAAAAACCAGATCAGCATGGGGGCAATCAACCATATCTTTCATTTTTTAAGAAACAACTTATAATCAGTTGCACCCATTGAATATGCTATTAGGCAGGTTGGGGGGCGCTGGTTTCCAATAATGCACTCAACTCTTAATAATTGAAAAATAGGGTTATTTTAAAATGATGCCATTTTTGTTATGAATGCAACAAGTAAAGAATGTTTTCATTTTCAGATAGTTGGATCTTATGGTCTTAATTGCTGTTAAGCTTAGATCAATACAAAGTGTTTGAAAAAATTATGAGCATTTCAAAATGGCTGAAAATGGGACTTTTTTTGGCAAATGGACAATACATTTTTAGATATGTTTCAGTTCTAAACTGCAACAAGTGGCTTATTTTTTGTCTATTTGTTGCAGATAATAGTAGCTAATCAGAAAACTAAACTGTAAGGACTTGTTGATGAATAGAAAACTACTACAGTTAACCTCATTTTGGCCTTTTTTTAGCATTTTTCAATTTTTTTTTGAAGTTGAGGAGGATACATATTTTTTCTAATATGATACAAGTTAACAAAAACCAGTATTTTTAACACAGAACTACCCAGAAAACACTTCTAGAAAAAATGAGCCGCTTGTTGAAAGATAGAAAAAACTTATGAGGCATTAAAGTAGTCTGTTTTTACAATTCTTAAATCGAGGGGGGCCACTGTGCATTGTTTATGAAGCTATATTTTCTGAACCGTTGCACTTGGAAGTCTGAAATTTCAAATTTAATCTATCTACATAATGTAGATAATGATATGTAAAAATCAGCAAAATCTGAGACGGTGCCCCACAGGCCATTGGTTGAAATATAATGATTTGACCCATATGCAGTCTGCGAAATTCAAAGAATTTCAAGTCGGCACAAGAGCGCCATACTAAGCCGAGATCAGGTCGGCAAAAATCTTAAAAAAAAAAGACTTCATAAAAGACAAATTAAATTTGACAAAAAATGAACTGAATAAAAAATAAATTTTATTTCTCTACATTGTACTTGTCAAATGTGAGTTTTTTCAAAATACATTCAAAAGCAAATACAAATATTAAATGATGAACTTATATTAAGCGAATATAATTTATTTTTTAGATAAATTTATTTTTTGCATGCCGACACTTTAAGAGATTTAGGTTGGCAGTTGTTTGCCGTTGTAAAGCAAAGATTGGTCGGCTTTTGTGTCGGCTTTGCCGAATGCCGATCTGAATTTCGCTGACTGTATATGTATAAATTTTTTTAATTAAGTGATATAGGAACATATGGGGAAGAGACTGCTTTAAAAACTGTGATAGATTCAATGAAAAGAACACGCGTAGGGTTAAAGGGTGAGTTGTTGATTTTAGGCTTTAATTTTTAATTTTATATTTTTATGTTATAATTGTGTTATTTGTTTAAATAATACTACAATTGATTCCAGATAACTCGAACCTCCAAGGGACCAAGGAAAATGGTTCAACAAATGTTTGATTAAATCGAATTCTTTTTAAGTCAAACTTTGACTGTTATGAAAAATTAGTTAGAGTAAATTTAATGTATATACTTTAGCATTGAATAAAGGGGATAAAAAATAATTCAACTTAATGAAGGTAGAGTTATCAGAGACAACCAGAGAATTTTAATAGTAATCGATTAGACAAATTTAAGGGAACAAATTAAATAGTTTGAGATAATAAAAGTTCAAGTTAACTGGTGTTCGACTGACTGGGAATTAACTGTTTTATTCATTTTTTATATTATTTAGGTATTTTAGCAACTCCCACTAGTATTGGAGCAGAACGTCATTTATCATTAAATCAACAATTAAAGTATAAGTTTTATAAAATTTTTTAATTTGTATTTTATTTTTAATTTGTTTAAATTTGTATTGTTAACCTAGTAACTTGAAAAGTATATTTCTAATTTAGATTAAAGCTGGACCTTTTTGCAAACATTGTTCATTGTAAATCAATGCCAGGTTTACCTACTAGGTTAGATTTTATTAAATTAGCAATTAAACTATTTTCTACAAACAAGTAGAAAAAATAAATTTAGTTTATTTAAAGAGTTAAAAATTGCAAAAACTATTCTTTTGTTTTTTGTTTTCAGTAGTATTTGTATTGACAAATATTTGAGTATAGGTAGCAAGAAATTTGCTTAAGAAACAGCTTAATGTTAACAGCTTAATGTTGACAGCTTAAAAAACAGCTTAGGTTAATGGTTAATTAAAATCTTTAGAAGAAAACCTTAAAAACTTTAGGCATTGCATTGCAATAGTTGTTGTTATTTCATTAGTTGCTACAATTTTTACTTGAATTACAATGATTATGTTATTAAGGTTATGCTGTAACAACAATTTCAAATTTTAATGATATAATTGTTTACTAGCTGTTCATAATACGGGTCATGGCAGGTCTGACTTACACCTCCTGACCCATAATACGGGTCATGGCAGGTCTGGCTTACACCTCCTGACCCATAATATGGGTCATGACAGGTCTGGCTTACACCTCCTGATTATTTTTTATTCATTTTCAATAGGTTACAGATAATACGGGTCATGGCAGGTCTGGCTTACACCTCCTAATTATTTTTTATTCATTTTCAATAGGTTACAGATAATACGGGTCATGGCAGGTCTGGCTTACACCTCCTAATTAATTTTTAATCATTTTCAATAGGTTACAGAAAATGATAAAAAGTAATGATCTTGTTAAAGATCATTATTTACTTTTTTTTTTGTACTGCTCAAGTATTATATGTATAGTATTATATTATATGCATAGTATTATATTATGCTCAAGTATTATATGCACATAGCATAGTGGCACATTAAAAGTTGACTTTATTGTATATTTTGGCTCCTGTAATATTGAAGCAAAAGATTAAAACAATAACAACACTACAATTACACAGAAGAATAAATATTAACAGAGCACTAAATATTTACAGACATTATATGTTTTCTGAATAATTATTGAAGGAAACACCTCTTGGCACTAAATGCTGTTACACCTCTGTTAAGTTTATGGCTTGGCTGGAAAAATTGGCAATTTTGCTCTACACCATGTTACTTTTTTTTTTTTTTTTTTAATAGAATTTTAGTTATAAAAAATAGCTTGCAAGTATAACAATCTAGCTATAAACACACTGCAAGTCACATGCTTGGTTAGTTTTATGACCTAGCTTTACACTAATAATTTTTTTAAATCAGTTTTAACAGCAGACAAAAAACAAAAACTGGGTTTCTAATAAAAGGATTTATTATATTTTTTTAATAAAAAATGTGATGTTTAATGATAAAACAATAATTGTTAATAAATTAAGTATGTGATGTAAGTATGTAAATAAATCATTGTTTTTATATCATTTATTAAATCATTCCAAAGTTATGTTATTTTGTTTATCCAACTTTTGAAATCTAATTTTTGGAACAATATTAGTTCTTATGAAATTTATTTATTATAAAATTTTTAAAATTATATATTAGTTTTTATAAATATCATGCAATTTATGAGTTTCTTACTAATTTGGTTGAATAATGCAATAAAATAACGTTCAAATAAATAAAAGTATAAATGATAAATAAAAGGTACAATTAGTAACTTAAGTCAGAACATACGTACAACGTGTGATTGCAAACTAAAGTCATAACATACATACAACGTGTGATTGCGAATTAAAGTCATAACAAACATAAAACTTGTGATTGTGAACTATGAATTTTCAAAATGAAAAATCTAAAGACTGGAAATTAAGAACATTTGAAAATATAGCATTACTTGTATATGATTTTTCACCTTGAATGGGATATGTATCGATTTTGAAAAACCAACTATTAACTGCTCTAGTTCTTGAACATTAAACATGTAGTTGACATTGAAAAGCCAATCTGACAGAAAACTGATGACATTTCAGAACAAAAGGTAAATTAGAATCTGAGCCTACTAAGTTCAAGGAACAAATATCTATTTACCACCAGAAGCTAATGCAATTTGAGGTTATAAAATTTTCATTGTTTTTTTATTTTTAAAGACTAACTTTTTAAAACTACTTCAATATTATTAATTACTACAAAGTGAGTTAAATGTTAAATAAATGAACAAATGCTATTATGGAATGTTTATTTTCTTTCAATTTTTTTTTATATTATATAATTAAATTTAAATTACATTTTTAAAATTGCTTGATATAAACAATTTTTTTTTTTTTTTTTGACATTTGTATGAGTCAATTAAAATATGTTAAATTTTTTAAAATATTTTTTAAATTTCTAATTGTGGCTTTGCAACTAAAAATGATTTTATGTTTTTTATTATTGAGTAACAATTAAAAAAATTATGTTAATTTATTTACTTTATTTATTAAAAAAGTTTAATTTTTTTTTTAATTTTATCTGGATTTTTTTCATTAGTAAATAGCGCTTATAGTTAACTTTATATTTAAATTGGCTAAGCCCTCTATCCTTACACCTCTGTCAGTATTGTTGTTATTGGTGACTTTAATGCTCTTCAGACTGAATGGCTTGGCTCTAATGCCACTGACCCTGCTAAACCTAATCATTTACCTTCACTCCTTGATTTATGTTTCTGACCCTAGCTTGTGTTCAGTTTCTCCCTTTTCTCCCTTAGATGGTTCTCACCATGCAATGATCTCTATAAATCTTTTATCTCGTACTTCTTTTTAGGACTTACTACTACCCTAAAGCTGACTGGGATTCATTTTGTGATTTTCTTTTGTGACTGTCCTTGGGTTGATGTCTTTTCTCTCTCAGCTGATATATGTGACTCCTATGTAACCTCCTGGATTCAGGCAGAAACAGAAGCTTTTAGTCCTTCTCCTTGGCTCCAAGTCAAACCATGGTTTTTACCTGCAGATGCTGTTTCTAATCATAATCATTTTTTTCCACCTTTTTCAAAAGAATGACTCTCTTGAAAACAGACAGTTATTTACTATTGAAAGAAATCAATGTAAAAATGTGCTGTCTGATGCTCCTATATTCTCAATTCACTAAGTCTCCCATCTTACCTCAAAAGTTAGGCTCTAGAGACTTTTAGAAAATCTTCAACAGCATCATTAACAAGAGTAGTTTAACATTCCATTTCTCATTCATGGGACTTATTACCTTTCCTTTGGATAAGGCTTTTCTTCTTATTTGTGTGTAAGTGTTACATTAGTATCTCTACAAATACCAAATTTTTGTTTAGTAGTATTATATTAATTGTTGAAGTTATATTTACTGTTAAAATTGTTAGTTTCTTAAGTAATTTGTTAAAATACAGTTTATAGTAAGTATCAGAGTTGGACCCATAAAATAGGTCATTGTAAGATTTTTCCACTTGACTTAAAAGCTTATTCCTGTTAAAATCTATTTATTTATACATTGTTAGTAAATAATAGAAATTAATTGACTTGTTATTATTATTTTAACAATTGATAATTTGACATCTTATTGTAAACTTCTAATAATAAAAAGAGAAGGGAGGTTTGATTAGGCATTTATTGGTTTTATGACTTTATATGAAACGGAGCTTGTTAAAATCCTCACACCGTTTATTAAAAAGATAAAATGTTCGTAACTAAAATCTTCTTCAAGAAAAACTTACTAAAAGAAAATTGACTCTTTATAGTGTTAAATGTGCCATGTTTTTTTTTTTTTTGCTTTAACACATTTTTTTCAAAACACTTAAAAATGATTTTTCAATATTTTGAGATTATTTGCAATTAATAGCATAATTAATAGCAGATAAGTTATTGCAAAATATTTTTTAAAAGGATTTTTATTAATTTCTTCATAATTCTTCCAAAAATATTCATTCACTAATGTTTATCAGCATCCAAAAAAGAAACTTTGAATTTTTTACCTTAAGGCGTTTTGAAAAATAAGCTGCGGTAATTATAAGTAAATACTATGTCCTTATATACATCATAGTAACCTTCTGAAACTTTTCAAATTGGGATTCTTGAGTGGAAAAACGCTCTTCTAGATTGACAAGTTTTAAGAATCTTTCCAGAACCTTCCATTATCTTCCAGAACACTTTAGTATCTTTTATAAAATTTTCCAAGTTTATTTAAAGTTTTATATGAAAGTGGCAAGTTCTTCATCAGAACGTATTTAGTTGAAAAAACTTCTTTTTCTTTAATACATCAAATCTTTAATAAATCAAAATTGAAAATAACAAAAATATTTGAAGATCCAGCAACATAACAATCAGCATTGACTATATTATCAACTTTATAGTATTAAGAAGAAAAAAAATATATTTCTCTATTGGTTCCCTCCACTTTTATCATTTTTCATTCAAAAAACTTTTTTATTTTTATTACTTTTCTGATTGGTCGATGATGGTTGAATCTAGTTAAAGAAAGTATATATATAGTCTAATATTTTTTTGTAAAATGAGTTTTAAGAATTGAATGTTTTCTATTTATTGAAAAAACTTCCATAAAAAACAATCTCATTATTGGATCTAATACAGATATTTTATCATAGTTGTTTAAACTGAACTAAAAATAACATTCAAAAATAAAAGAACTGATCAAAGAAAAATAACATTCAAGATTTTTTCAAAAAGTTATAAAAATATTAAGTTTTCTATTTTTTAAATCTTTAACAATAATTAAACTAAAAATTAATGTAAGAAAAAAACACTTTTTTGAATTGCTTCCTTAAATCTTTTTTTTTTTAAACATATATTAATAATAAATTTGTATACCTCATGAATATCCTGAAATTTTTTTTGTCTTATGTTTATCTTAAGTTTTTTCAACATCAAATATTAGTCTATTGCAATAATATTTTTTTGTGTTGAAGAACTTTTCAACAAATTAACAAGTTATTTTAATTATCTTTTTTTATATAATTTTTCTAGACATAAAAACCTAGACATTGTTGTAATAACATAGACATTGTTTTCAATTTTTCTAGACATAAAAACGTAGACATTGTTGTAATAAGAGAACAAACTGAAGGAGAGTATACTAGCTTAGAGCATGAGGTAATAACATTTGTTATGAATAATAAAAACTGTTGTGAAAAGATATTTTGATCAGAACAAAAACTTGAACTATTTTTTAATTGGTTATTTATAAACATTTTTGAAAAAGCAATTTCCTTATAATACAGAAAAATTTTTTAACTCTGATAAACTATTATTTTTAGAGTGTGTCTGGAGTAATTGAGATGATAAAAGTGATAACACGAACAAAATCAGAACGAATTGCTAAGTTTGCATTTGATTATGCTATGAAGCATAAAAGAAAGAAAGTTGTTTGTGTGCATAAAGCTAACATCATGTATGTTGTAATTTATAATTCTTAAATATTTTGCATTTGTGTAGCTAGTAATGTAGTATTTTGACATCTTTATAGATGGCTTATGTTATATGTAGCAAACTATGTTATATACAGCTTGCTGTTAGGATTTTTCGCAAACATTTCAAAAAACAATTAAATTTTTAAAAAAACAACTGTTAACAGCTGTTTTTGCATCTATATTATTTTGGTATATCATTAATAAGAATTATGAAAGTTATGAATTATTAAAGAATATGAAATAAAATAGCTTTTGATCAGAACCTTTTGACTTCTTATCATAAAAATTAAAAACGTTAAGTTAGAAAGGTGCAATCTTATTTTAAGTTAGAAAGGCGCAATCTTATTTTGGTACAAAAATTAATCCCTAAATGAACGTTCATTGTTTTTATACAAAGTATTGTGTTATTTTTGCAGATTTTTCTGTGTTCTTAAAAAGTATGATATTTAATTCAAGCCACTTGAGGTTTGAATCCAAAAAAGTGAGGCTAGAATCTAAAATCCACAGAAATGTTGTTTATAATGTAGTGAAACATTTACTGTTGCTCACAAAGAAACAATCCTGTCTCAATTATATAAACTGGATGTAAATGTAAAGAATGCATCATTATTTAGTTGCATGAAGATATGCCTGTTATAAAAAATAAGAAAAAAATCATAAAATAACTGCAAGCAACCATAGCAACCGCTATTTAAGTTAGGAGTTATTATAAAACAAAGAATATTTTTAAAGAGCAAAAAAATGATTGACTTGAAAACTTTAAATTGTATGAATTGAAGACCGGAGATCAAAGATCGGAGAGAATTTCAAAGCGTTAATATGCCAGAAAAAGAACTAGATTAATATACAGTAAAAGGATGTGGCTTTGCTGAATATGATAGCTGAGTTCCATACAAGGATTGAAGATTAAAAATATGCAAACTTAGTAGATGCTAACTTTGCAATGGATTGTTCCTAATGTCATTGTAAAATTTGCATTTAACAAACTTTTAAATAAGCACGTTTGTTAAAATAATGTCATTGTAAAATTTACATTTAACAAATTTTCAAATAAGCATGTTTGTTAAACGCTAATTGAAATATTTTTTTTAACGCTCACTAACATTGCGTCTTCACAACTAAATTTGCAACAACTAATTTAACAGGCTCCATGGATTGAAAAGTAATTCCAAAGCAAAAAACCCCAATTTTTCTTATTTGTCCAATGCTTGGAATTCAGTTAAAATTTCACAAATTGTTGTTTTGATCAGTGGTTCAATCATAGTTGGAATAAAATTCCATTATGTCAAGATCAAGCTTTATTTTATGTCTGAAGTAAGGTTTTACTTTGTTTAGATAAACACATTCAGAACCATAAAACTGTGAAAAACTTAAAACATTCTTTTATAAAACAGAATACTAAAATAAGAAATTATTTTAAATTGAAAACTCATTCAAAAAATGTTTTTTAATGTTAAACCACCCAAATTAAACCACCCAAATCAAATCGCCTAAATTAAACCATCCAAATTAACTTAATATGAAGTATCAAGGTCATAATAATCCACATCTTCCTGTTTGATTACATCATTGCTTATGATTTCCATATCCATTCCATCATGTCATTTTTTGTTGACCCTAATGCTATCCAGGTAAATTTTATCAAAACTTTTAATTCTTTTCTATTCTTTAAAGTAATTTAGTAATGATGTTGGCCTTAATTGTGTCATTGGCTTTGTCATATCAAGAGTTGAACATAAGTTAGGAATACACGCAAGACTTCAATGTTGTTTTATCATCGTTACTATAAGGATTTAAATTATTTATATTTGCAAATAAATTCTTAACATAGCACAGTTTTAAAACAAGTCGTTGTCAAAACAGGTTTACATCTAGTTGCTTATTTTATTTAGACAAAAACTCAAATTTCAATCATAAAGTAAAGATTTTTACAAAATGTTGCAATGAATTTTTAACATTTTTTGAACTGTATAAAATTGTACAACTACTATTTCTATTTTGTAGAGGGGAATAAAAAATTCTTTTTAAGGATTAAGAAAACATTCTTTTATAAATTGACTTTTAATTCTGTAAACTATTTTTAATTCCTCGTCTACATATAACTGTAATAAAATCACAGTTTAAAAAAGTGTTCAAGTCATATTTTTAAGTAAAACGTGTAAAACCACTTTATCTGTACAAAGTACTAGCACAGCTTTACATCTATGTAACTCAGCAACATTTAGTCCACAAACAACTTTTTTCAAAAGATGTTTAAAAAACTTTTCTAACCAAACTTTGGTATATTTATGTCTAGATCAAATCAGAATGTTTTGCAAAAAAATTTTGGTAATTGTAGCCTGGGAACAAAAATACTCTTACGAGTCTGCCAAACGTGAGGCCAATCAACAAAATATTTAGTTTTTCCAAATATTTTATACAAAATTAAATTGTTATTATACTAATTTTATGTTTTTCAGTTTTATCTAATTATATTTGAGTGTTTGAAATTTAAGACCATGTAAATTTTACAGTCCCCTTATTTTGATTAAATTTGACCCACTAAAATACCAGAAAAAATTTGAATAAATTATACTGTTCTTTTGCAGTTCAATATGAGTGCAGAACCTGCTGTGGTATCAATTATTACCAAAATATTTTGTTCAATATTCATAAATAGTTAAAATAGGAAAAAAAGATTCAATTTTTGATTCAAAATTTGATTCAATTTGCGATGTGTTCAAAATTTAATTCACGATATTTAGGTGAATGTATTCAAAATTCTATTCGATGTTTATATTTCCGATTTGCTGGGTATTAAGGTATATGGCTTATATGGCTTGCTATTTAGTATTTAGTAAAATATGTTTTATGTAGCTATGTAGGTTCAGGACACATTAGGTGAAAACACCTGTTTTAACAACTTGTTAAACAGGTTTTATAGTAAGTAAATATTTCATTAAAAAAATAAGTCTGATTGACACACAGTTTTTTAAAAACAAAATTGATTTTTTAACTCTGAAATTAACTTTGGTTTTGTATCTTATTAAATCACATTTATTAAAATTGAGTATAAGAATAATACATAGAATACTTAATGTTTTATAATACAGGAAACTTGGAGATGGTTTATTTTTTGAATCCTGTAAACGAATATCAAAAATGTATCCGAAAATTGAGTTTGAGGGTATGATTATAGATAACACATGTATGCAGCTTGTTTCTAAACCACAGCAGTTTGATGTAATGGTTATGCCAAATTTATATGGTTCAATTGTTAATAATGTTGGAACTGCACTAGTTGGTGGAGCTGGTGTAGTGTGTGGAAAAAGTTTTGGTAGAGAGTTTGCCATGTTTGAACCAGTAATTTATTAACTTTCTTTATAAACTTTTTTGGTTTATAATTTTTTTTTATATATATTTTGTTTTACTTATTTTTTCTTTAAAAAATTTCTTTTAAAAATTTTTTTTAGGGTGCTAGACACACTTATGCACAAAGAGCAGGGCTAAATGTTGCTAATCCTACAGCAATGTTATTTGCAGCTTGTGATATGTTAGAACATATACAGTAAATCTTTTTTTTTTTTTTTTTTTTTTTTGAGGTATTTTATGAAGCAGTCTTTGTGTATGTGTGTGTGTTTATATATATATATATATATATATATATATATATATATATATATATATATATATATATATATATATATATATATGTATATATATATATATATATATATATATATATATATATATATATATATATATATATATATATATATATATATAAAAGTTGTTTGATGTTAAGTAAGTCAAAGTTGTTAATGTGTTACTGTAGTGTTACTTCATAGTATGAAATACACCCTATAATAAAAATATAAAAAAGTAAATCTAAAGTAAACTATTTTAATGTTGAATAAATTCTAACTTGTATCAGGTTAACTTGTAATTTCTGATGATTTTCTTTGCACAAATGTTTAATAATTAGTTACATATTCTTTTTAAAAATATAAATCTTAAATAACTTTGTCTGAAATTTTATTTCCTCTTTAATTTTAAAATTTTGCAAAAACTTTTTTTGCTTACTAAAAATTATTTTTGGTATTATCTTATTTAAGCATGGATGATTGTATTGCTAAAATAATATTGAAGATTTATCTTCATTTGGAAACATTTTATTAGCATGCTTCTAACACTTCAATATATTTTTTTGAATGTGTCTTTTTCACAAAAACATTTCCCCTGGTCCTTCAGCAGCCATACAACCCAATATCATTACCATACCTCCATCAAATTTAACAGTAGGCACTAGACAAGCTGGTAAAAATACTTTACCAGCTTGTCTAGTGCCTTCTTCTAACATACGTTATGCCAGGAGTTCCAAAAATATGTAAAAAAAATCCAATATATCATGTTTTAACGCTAATTTTTTTAAAAATGAATTTAGTTATTCATTCATTTATTTATCTATTTATTCATTATTTCTAAAGAACACAGTTTTTTATTTATCTATTTATTCATTATTTCTAAAGAACACAGTTTTTTATTTATCTATTTATTCATTATTTCTAAAGAACACAGTTTTTTATTTATCTATTTATTCATTATTTCTAAAGAACACAGTTTTTTATTTATCTATTTATTCATTATTTCTAAAGAACACAGTTTTTTATTTATCTATTTATTCATTATTTCTAAAGAACACAGTTTTTTATTTATCTATTTATTCATTATTTCTAAAGAACACAGTTTTTTATTTATCTATTTATTCATTATTTCTAAAGAACAAAAAGTTTTTACTTCAAAGTTGGATTCATCAGACCAGATTCTGTGATGTCCAATCTTTGTGATGAATCGCCCATTCTAGTCCTTTTTTTTTTTTTTCCTTTCTGAGAGCCAAGGTTTTTTTCTTGCCTTGCAGCCTTTCAATCCACATTCTGTCAATCTTCTTCTGGTGTGGCCAGCAGTCCTTGAAAACCTGGAAATATCACGGAATTTGATAAGTCCTGAAAAGTCCTGAGAAAGCACCCCTTTTAGCAATAAATCCTAAAAATCCTGGAACTTATTTTTGAATTAGTTCAATATTTTGTTATCATGTCAATATTTTTATCATTCACAAAAATATTATTTATATTGCGTAGATTTCTCCTGAATTTATTAATTGCATATTTTCTGAAATGCAAAAAAATTTTTGTTAACTGTTACTGTTAGTATTATTAACATCTCATAATTATTTAGAAAATATAATATAATATATATATAATATATATATATATATATATATATATATATATATATATATATATATATATATATATATATATATATATATATATATATATATATATTAGGGTGTCCGTTAAAACAATATTTTTGAAAATAATTTTCTCTCACCCCCTAAATGTGTTCTATCTAATACAAAAACTCTAGGTTTAAATTTTTTTTGAATAAAAAATATTTTGAGGCTCCATAGTTGTGAAGGCGCCTAATTTTCATTAAATACTTATTTTTTTTCCTGAGAATATAAAAATTTACAATAATAAAAATTTAGAATAAAAATTGATTTATTTATGTAATAATAAGTATATTAATTTATAATAAAAACTACATCAACTCGAAAAGACTTTTTTTTATTTTTCTCAAATTTATTAAGTGTACATTAGAATCCAATCTTAAAAATATTTTAGTTAATTAAGAACAAATCATTTACAGGGCTGCCGAGAGGGAGGGGCAAAAGGGGCATATGCACCTCAGTTGCCAAAGTATTAGGAGTGCCAGAAGACAAAAAAAAAATCATAATGAGATTTTAATTACAAAGAAGTAAAAAATTAGTTTTTATTGATGAGGCATAAAATAAATATACTTGGTGATGGGCATAGTAATTAACTTGCTTTGTTTATATTACTAAATAATTATAGTTTTAAATAATATATTTCTTTGATAAATTATTTAAGAAATAGATTATTTAAAATTATAATATAACCATCAGGTCTTGTCACAAAGAATCGCTGTTAAAGAAATTAAAAGGTTATTCAAAACTAAGATAAAAAACGTTTGTGCATTTACGCTTTCTTATTAAACTCAGTATATAATTAATTAAAAATGATTCGTCTAAAACCCCAACTAACCAAATATTATCCAAAATGTCTTCACTTTTTTACCATGTTGCAAATCATTGGAATAAATTAGTGCATGATATAAACTCTTTTAAAAGTATTTTTATAATGCTATTTCGGCTGTAGCCGAAAATGTCAATGGCATATGAATGTCAAAGGCATATGAAAGCCTGGTGTTGCTTTCCTTCATCAATTTTAAACTTTTTTTTTATGTACAAGTTGGTTTTTTATGTACAAACATTGGTTACTATAATAAATAAATAGATAAAAATCTAAGATTTAAAAATTTTCAGCTGCAGTCTCACTAAATGTAAGATCTATCTTTTCAAGCATTTAAAAAATGACTGTAGGGCCACTATAAAACAAACAATTTCGGAATTGGATACCACTCCAGTAATAATAACAATTTTAAAAAAAGCAATTAAAAGAGTTTTCGATATTTATTTCGAAGATTCTGTATTATTTAATTTAGATTTTCCTAAAAATATAGATGTAAATTAACAGTATTTGATACAAAAGACAGTCATTAACCGTATAATTGTATATGCTTTAATTTTTAAAAAATGCATGCATATTTTTAAAAAATATGCATACTTATAGGGGCGCCTATGCTCTGGTCTCATGAAAGCATTCGGCGGCCTCAATCATGCAATGCATATGCATGATCAGCGGCTGTGAGGAGCAAAACAATGCACATTGTGTATTTTCCTGCTAACCAATCATTGACATTGTTTAAAAGTATTGTTGTTGAAAAGTTCTATTTTTAAGATAAATTATTTACGACCTTTTTTCAAAAAAATTGTATAAAAATACATTACAAAACTTTAAATTTATTTTATTAAGGCGCCAAAATATTTTTTTCACACACCTTTGAAATTTCTAGCGCCGGGTCTGACACCATAGGAAACAAGCTTATGGAAAAGACTAGCATGCCAAACTTTGTTGAAAGCCTTAGATATGCCAAGAGCAATAGTCCTAGCCTCTCCGCCTCCGTCTAATGCACAATAAAATCTTTCAGTCATAGCAGTTAGCTGTGACAGTCAATTGTAGAGCAAGAGGATCAAACACCATATTGATTGTCTGACAGTAAGTTATTTGACTCAAGATGGGATTTGAGGAATTTGTTTATCAAAGACTCAAAGACCTTGCTAATAACAGAAAGAAGACTGATTCTATGATAATTGAAGTGGTCAGAATGTTCGCCAGAGTTTTTGAAAATTGGAACAACAGGTGCCATTTTCCAGAAGGCGGGAAAACAACACTCAGTCAAGTACTTATTAAATAGTTCAAAGAGAATCGAAGAGAGTTTTGGAGAACAATTTTGTAAGACTATGATAGGAATGTTGTCTGGGCCACAAGTCATAGAAGAGTTTAATTGAGATATGGCTTTAGTAACGGAAGCTGGATTTGAATGTCTAACAATGGGTTAACCTGTTTAATTGGAATCAAAGGAAGAGATTTGAGAATCAAATTAAAAGAAAAGTTCTTTGCAAATTGTTCTGTCTTGGGAGAAGTAATAAGATCAGTCCCATGAATTAGACATGTTAGAAAGAGAGATGGAATGTTAGATCTTTCTTTGTTATTGACACTGTGTGTATTTTGTATTGACAATGAAAAACAAAACAATAAGTTTATGACTACAAAAGTAATAATACTACAGTGTTGTTACTTTTATAACACTCTTTTAAGTTACATTTATAGTTTATTGTTTGATCAAACAACACATAATCAAGCTATTATAAATAAAAATGATTTAGTTAAGTAATTCCAAACTTTAATTAAAGTAGTAATGCATCTTAATATATGAGTAAGAGATTGAGACTTGAGTGCCAGCAAGGTTAGTGGCATTAGATCCAAGCCAAACCATTCAGTGTGATGAGCTTTAAAGTCACCAGTAACAACAATATTGGCAGAGAAGTAAAGGAAGAGGGCATAGTCAATTTGAACAGAAATTACATCTAAAAGAGTGCAGTCTTGGGAAGAAGGAGAATGATGAAGAACAATTAGAAAGGCGATAGAGTGAAGAGATGCTACGCAGAAGTACATAATAGAATAGTGTTGATAAAAATACTCATCATAGGCAATATCTGCCTATGATGAGTATTTTTATTAACACAATCTCTAGCCTTTATTCAACCAAGAGCCCCAAGGCAGGGGATTTTTAAAACAGAGTTTGTTTCAAATTGATTTCAAGTTTGATTCAAATTGTATTCTTTACAAGATAGTTTTAATTTTTTTTTTTTTACCTTTTTATTCTTAGATTTTACTATAGAAAATCATCTGGCAGCAAAGCAGCTATCAGTAATTAAAAAAAAAAAAATTAATAAATCAGCACAGCCTACTATTGAGGTTCTTCAATCTCCAGCTCTGATTACTAAGGCAGAAATAATATGGACCTTGAGTGTTTTAATTTGACATTTTTCTTTAAGATCATGCTTAAATTTAGATAAAATAT